ATGATAAAGGAACAACAGCTATGGAGAGGCATTGTATAGTAGAAAAAAGCTACAGAATTAAATCAGTCAATATAAAGATTTACTGACCTCAGAAAGGAAACCAAGACGTGTTATGTTGGGGAAGGATTTTTGCTTTTGTTTCCACAGGAGAAGAAAAATTATGGGTATCATCAAAATTGATAAAGATTTGATTTGAACAACAGACAACTCTTAATTAGAGGAGATGATAGTTCATCAAGCAGCATGGCCATTTAAACTAACCTATAAAACTAATAAATGCTTTTTATTTGATCAGATATAACTTGCCAAAAGAGAATCTCCACAAAATTAGGGTTGGAGAAGGGTTTTGTTGTAGTCTTTTCAAGAGAATAAAGACATCCAGCTAAGAAATCTGAAGACTACTGGACAAATGAGATAGCTGAAGAAAAAGGACAAATCTAGAAAAAAGTCTCAAAGAATAAATTGGCCAGTTGGTGTATCACATTTCCAAGAGGATAAAATTTCATAAATCTTCCCAAATGTTTGTTTCTGCTGTTCTCTACAGACACATAATGCAAATGGTCTTTTTGTAATTCTAGTCCAGTTAAAGATTAAAGCTGGCTTTGGAGTTGGAGTGTGGCTCTCTCCTTCTCTAAACCCAACCACACTTATTAAAGTGAAATTCAAAATTTCTGTCTCATGCCAGAAGAGCCACCTAATATGGGACAGAAGAAAAACAAAATTTTAAGGACTATTTTATTGCTACCAATCTCATAATCCTTTAGTTTTATATAGATTCTTTAACAGTTTTTCTTAAGGTATAAGATATACATATACATATATATTCATTTAAACTTTTTGTCATGATATTGCTGGTCATATAAAGTAATAATTCTAGAAAAAGATTTCATCTACCTTCCTGTATATGATTTTGGGTTTGAATCTCTATCAGTTTTCTTCAGTGAACCATGAGCATGTCTAACAGTGATCTTTGAAGTCTCCAAAAGAAGGGTTCCACATTGACGATTCCTCCACAACTATGATAACACCACTAAGATGAAAACACCACCTAAAGTTCAGTTTAGCACTAAAAACTGCTCAGAACAATTTTGAGGTGACAAGTTGAGATGGTCTGGCTTCATAGACTTCTCTAGCTAGGGCTTGAGACAATTCGTGCACTTTCCCATTACACAGAAACTGGACAACAAATGATAGAGCTATCTGTCCCAGGACTTGACAATCCATTTTTTTCTTTTCAGGATCCCCTAAAGATGCTGTTGCCCCCAGACAGCAGGAAGCAAATTTAAGAACACGACGCCCACATTCCGAAGAGGTGGGGTGGGTGTTTTTTGTCATTGGGTTATGGGTATTTGTTATTGTTTAGGGGGTCTGGTTAGAAATTTTTATTGGTATTGATCAGGAAAAAAGCTAAACAAAGGCAATTAGATTCAAGATTCTTGTTCTTAAAAAGGAAAAAGGAGGATAAAGATATGCTAGGAAAAAAGTGTAGATTATTGAATCTACTTTTAAAAAGCAATTACTGGTTCTAAATATTTTACATTGAATTGAATTTTTTTTTTTTTTTTTTTGGTTTTTCGAGACAGGGTTTCTCTGGTTTTGGAGCCTGTCCTAGAACTAGCTCTTGTTGACCAGGCTGGTCTCAAACTCACAGAGATCCGCCTGCCTCTGCCTCCCGAGTACTGGGATTAAAGGCGTGAGCCACCACCGCCCGGCTGGATTGAATTTTTGTATATTGTATACAAATTTTAAAAATTAATACAAATACAGATTCAACACAATGCCCATCAAAATCCTGGAAAAATTCTTCAAAGACCTCAAAAGAACGGTACTCAACTTCATATGGAAAAGCAAAAAACCCAGAATAGCCAAAACAATCCTGTACAATAAAAAAAAAAAAAAAAACATCTGGAGGCATCACAATCCCTGACTTCAAACTCTACTACAGAACTACAGTACTGAAAACAGCCTGGTATTGGCATAAAAACAGATAGGAGAACCAGTGGAACCACATAGACGACCCAGATATCAATCCACACATCTTCAAACACCTGATTTTTGACAAAGAAGCAAAAAATATCAAATGGAACAAAGAAAGCATATTTAACAAGTGGTACTGTCATAACTGGATATCAACATGTAGAAGAATAAAAATAGACCCATATCTATCACCATGCACAAAACTCAATTCCAAATGGATCAAAGACCTCAACATAAAGCCAGCCACACTAAACCTTACAAAAGAGAAAGTGGGAAATGTACTTGAACGCACTGACACTGAAGAACACTTCCTAAATAGAACCTCAGCAGCACAGACACTGAAACAATTAATAAATGGGACCTCCTGAAACTGAAACGCTTCTGTAAAGCAAAGGACACAGTCAACAAGACAAAACGACAGCCTACAGAATGGGAAAAGATCTTCACTAACCCCACATCAGACAGAGGTCTGATCTCCAAAATATACAAAGAACTTAAGAAATTGGTCACCAAAAAAGCACATAATCCAATTTAAAAAAAGTGGAGTACAGACCTAAACAAAGAACTCTCAACAGAGGAATCTAAAATGGCTGAAAGACACTTAGGAAAATGCTCAACATTCTTAGTCATCAGAGAAATGCGAATCAAAACAACTCTGAGATTCCATCTTACACCTTTAAGAATGGCCAAGATCAAAAACACTGATGACAACTTATGCTGGTTTGGGGAAAAGGGAACACTTCTGCATTGTTGGTGGGAATGCAAGCTGGTACAACTCCTTTGGATGTCAGTGTGGCGATTTCTCAGAAAATTAGGAAACAACTTTCCTCAAGACCCAGTAATACCACTTTGGGGTATATACCCAAAGGATGCTCAATCGTGCCACAAGGACATGTGTTCAACTATGTTCATAGGAGCTTTGTTTGTCATAGCCAGAACCTGGAAACAACCTAAATGCCCCTCGATCAAAGAAGGGATAAGAAAAATGTGGTACATTTACATAATGGAGTACTACACAGCAGAAAAAAATGACAGCTTGAATTTTGCAGGAAAATTGATGGAGCTAGAAAATATTATTCTGAGTGAGGTAACCCAAACACAGAAAGACAATTATCACATGTACTCACTCATATGTGGTTTTTTAAATATAAAACAAAGAAAGCCAGCCTACAAACCACAATCCCAGAGAATTTAGACGACAATGAGGACACTAAGAGAGACTTACATAGATCTAATCTACAAGGGAAGTAGAAAGTAGAAAAGGACAAGAATGCCTGAGTAAATTGAGAGCATGGGGACCTTGGGGGAAGGGTTGAAGGGGGAAGAGAAAGGCAGGGAGGGGAGCAGAGAAAAATGTAGAGCTCAATAAAAATCAATAAAAAATTGATATAAATTTGAGATTTTGTTAGAACATACTCTATATGTTTCTAATCTTGTTCAAAATATTGTACCTATACAGCTCATTTAACAATGTAATGCAAATTTCTAGTCCTTCAAAACTGTTACTACCAGCTATTTATGATAATAAGGAAATGCAGGTCAGTAATTAGTCACCTATAACAATTGAACTTGTAGTCATATTAGGTATGTTTACATAGAAAAATCTGTTGGATATTCTAAGTCTTTAGGCCAAAGATTGGTGTCCCAATGTTGCAGAGAAACCTTGGGTGACTGTCCAGGCAGGCAGTTGATTCTGTCATTTCTCACATTCTTTGGAAGTCGCTTGCTCATACTTCCTGCTTACTCAATTAATATTACTTCTTTCTCAGGTATCTGAGGGAGATGAGGACTTTATAGTTATAATCTTCCTTGTTTACCAGATCCAGAAAAAAATTCACTAAGTAAATGTAAAGTATATAAGGTTCAGAGACATGAAAAGATAAGTTGAATTGGTAATACAAGTTAGAATAGAAAGTGAATTATGTACAACACTTTGGACTACCAAGATAGGATAGATAATGGAGTATTTTCTCTGAATTTGTCAAATGAAAATGGACTAGACATTGTTGATATACATATTATGTTGTATATATTATATATAGTTATTTACTTAATAATATAGTCTTTTTATATTCATTACAGCCTTTTTATTTTAGAAAAAAAAAGGGAAGATGTAATTTTTTTTTATGTTTTAACAAATAAAGCTTGCCTGAAGATCGGAGTGCAGAGCTAAATCATTAGGAGCCAGGGAATGGTGGCACAAACCTTTAATCCCAGGACTCAAGAGACAGAGGCAGAGTGATCTGTATTAGTTCAAGACCACACTGGGCTACACAAGACTGAATCTGTCTAAAAGAACAGGTCACATGAAGGTGATCCCAGCACTCAGGATTCCACACCTTTAATCCTAGCACTAGGGAGGTGGAAAGAGAAATGATATGGCTGGGTGGAGAGAGGGACAGAAAGCAGGAGGAGACAGGAGCTCAATGTATATATATGTATATATATATACCCAGTAACATTTCTATTAAATTCATCCAAATAAAATAGTCAAAGCAGCAAAAATAAATATAAAATAATATAGGGAGCATTATTTATATTAGCAAAAATACTTGGAAACAAGTAGATATGAGAATAGTTGAAATCTGCTATATTCATTCAATGGAATACTATGCAGTCATTACAAATAGAATTAATGATATGGAAAAATAACTTCATGTTATTTTTTATTTGTAATGATTGTATATTGTTGAGTAGAAAAATGGTATATAAATTACATATATAATTCAAATTTTGGGGACTAGAGAAAAAATATACCCGTGTTATTAAAAAGACTATAAACTATGTAGATGAGACATATACATCAGGATGTATTATCTCAGTTATGCCTGGTATGATATTTTGTTTCCTTTATATTTTTCTGTTTTACAAATTTTCTATAAGTCAATGTATTCATTTTATTTTCTGATAAAAATATATCCTTAAACCACATTTGTGTCCATTAACCAGAGATGAAAAATTCAGATTTTTTTAGTATAAAAACTGATAAAACTTGTATTAGGAAAATCATAAACAGTAAATACCTGTATGTCCTTGTTCAATCCACTGACTGCAATTTGACTGATTCAACCTGAAATGCAACAAATATAATTTTTATTATTTCAGAGTCAACATTTACAAATTATCTCAAATATGATAACATTTCTTTTCTTTGGGGGAGGCAGTGCTAGGAACTGAAAGCAGACATACAGTAGCACAGAACCATACCCCAACCCTTTGGGCTTAAAAATTACCTGAATTGCATAAAACCTTGTGAAGTTTTAACAGCTGTAACATGTGAACATTTTGAACTATTATCCATATCAGAGTCATTAAATATCTGAAAGAAAAAAAATTAAGTATTAGATTTCCTATACAAAATAATAATCATGTGTCATAGTTACACTGAAGTCCCTAATTACATTAGCATTTCATTCTCATAATCATCACCATTATCAGTAACTACACACATTAACTGAAATAACTACATAGGAAACATAAAGGCTTATATGCTGAGAAACAAAAGGATTTAGGATGATTACATAATTTGATGTTTTTGACAAATATGGTAATTATTTGTGGTATTTTTTTTACACTGAAGGTAAACTTTTAAAATTTTTTCTTACCCATATTCACTAATCAAGTATTAGAATATTGTTTTCTCTTTATTGATTACCTTATTTCTATGTCCTTTTAAAAACATATGAGATGACACAAATATTCTGGGATCAGTGGTGACAACTGTGCAACCTGTATATGAAAAGTCATTAAACTTACACTTTATTAAATAGTACATTTTATGGATGTGGATTATGCATTTTACTTTTTATGCAAAAAGTGAATTAAATTTTTGATGGCTGACAGTCCTTGGAGTATCCTCTCCCTTTTTTTTTTTTTTTTTTTTTTTCGAGACAGGGCTTCTCTGTAGCTTTGGAGTTTGTCCTGGAACTAGCTCAAACTTACAGAGATCCACCTGCCTCTATCTCTGGGATCAAAGGCGTGTGCCGCCACCACTTAGCAAGGATAGTGGTTTTAAGGAAATAAAGCAGGAACTAGAAAGGTAGCTGAATGGTTGTGAATACTGGCTTGAAAAACAACAACAGTCAGGACCATCATTCTGATGCAATCCTGAAAGCTTTCTGGAGTTCCCCTGAGAACCTGAGTCTAGATCTATATGCTGAGAAGAGTAGGGAGAAGGAAAACACTAGCTATTAGAGATTGCATTTGTTCTGCCTGGGAGACTATATACTTGTGGGTTTTTTATTCGTTTTTTTTTTCAGACTGTTTATAACTTAAATTGTCTTACAGAAATATCCATCTTACCCCAAACCTAGTGCTTAAAAAGTCTTATGTAGCATTCTCCCTGTTTTTTTTTTTTTTAAATTATCTTCAACATTTAGGATGATCTTCTGTTTATCCAGAAGATAAACACACTTATCTTTTCTTTTGCCGCCACTGTTTTGCGGGGACAGGGGTTATTTGTTTAGACTCATTAACCAAACCTTTTAATACCACTAATTTTTGCTTTTCTGTTTACTAATCTCTATTGTGTACATTTTGAAGTAGAAATGCTTGACATCTAAATTTTTTCACTTTCTGCTGTTTATTTATTTATTTTGGATTTTTCGAGACAGGATTTTGTCCGTAGCTTTTTGGTTCCTGTCCTGGAACTAGCTCTTGTAGACCAGGCTGGCCTTGAACTCACAGAGATCCGCCTGCCTCTGCCTCCCGAGTACTGGGATTAAAGGCGTGCGCCACCACCGCCCCGGCTTCTGCTGTTTATTTTTAAAATACATTTTGCTCTGAGAACTAGTTTGTTTCATGTTTTATAGTACTTTGTTAAATCTTATAAATTCTATTTTCTTTTATAATCTCCCAAATTATCTGAAATGTAAATTTCTTTTCCCTTGGCAGCCTAGTTTTCCCAGGAAAGGGTTCTTTTTTTCCTCCCTAAGACAAGGTTTTACTAGCCCTGGTTGGCCTAGAACTTGCTATGTAGACCAGGTTGGCCTCAAACTCACAGAGATCTATTTGCCTCTGTTTCATGAATACTGCAATTAAAGATATATACCACTATAGTGAAAATGGTTCTTTTTGTTTGACTTCTGTTTTTCATTATGACAAGGCAGCAAATTATTTAGAATTAGTTAAGTGGTGTTTGTGTGAGAGTGTGTTTTTGGTCATGCATGTCTATAATCCCAGTACTTATAAGACAGAGGCAAAAGGAAACTGGGTTTGAGACCGCTCAACACTCTATCTCAAGACCTTGTCTGTCTCTGTCTCTCTGTATATATACGTACTTTTTAGGGGCTAGGGAAATGGCTTTTGGTAATGCACTTGCTATGCAAGCATGAGGACCTGAGTTTGAATTTCCAGCACCCAAATAAAAGTTGGGCATAGGATGCTGGCACAAGCAGGTCCCAGGAGCTCAATGAGCCAGCCACCTTATCTGAAATATCAAGCTTCAGGTTCAGTGAGAGACACTGTCTCAATGGAATAAAGCAGAGAGTGATATACACCTCTTTGTTGTGGTTCATAGGCCTTATTGGATGTAGTAATATTTGTTTTTCTCCCTTGGCAGCTTAAATAGCATCTTTGAATACCAAGAGAACTAGTTTTCAGCAGGGACACTTCCAGGTCAGATCAAACTCAACTCTTCTAAGTCCTGTATTGGAAATGTATGGTATCTTCAGCAATAGGGTCTTGAACCTTTAAGCTTTGGTAGTGAACCAAAATCAAGAGCAAGAATCTATATTGTTGTAGGAGTCACACTTTTTTTTTCTCTTTAAAAGTAAATTGTCGCCAGGCCTGGTTGCGCACGCGTTTGATACCAGCACCTGAGGCAGAGGTAGTCAGAGATTTGTGAGTCCAAGGCCAGACAGACCTACAAAGAGATAGCAAAGACCCTATCTCACAGAGAAACCCTATCTTGAAAAAAACAAGAAAAAAAAGTTAATTGTTTCTGATATTTTGCTAGTGACAGAAATCTTTATGAAACAATGTTGGGGCTACAGCCTTTGCAATCAGTACTGTAATGAAGGGTTTAACAGACATTTCTCAAAAGTTTTGATCTACTAACTACCAGGTTTGGTATTTTTAAAAAAAATTTATATATTTAGTCACAAGGGGAAGTTTATACTGAATGCCATACTGAAACTCTACAAGTTTTAGTCAATGAGGTAATAGTAGTGGCTAATTTAATATGTACATGCACGTATACACAAGCACACACATACATCCTTGTATCCTACCTACATTTATTATCTCATTTAATGGAAACATTTATGATATTAAAAACAGAAAAACACACCTGAGAATCATTTTCCTTTTGTCTCAAATCACTACTAGAAAACTTTGACTGAATGACTGAATTTTCTTCTTGATTGACTGAATTTTCTTCTTTTTTATCTAGATTAAATATATTACTTCAAATTAATTTCAAAAACAAAACCAAATATGATCTTAAACTCATTGCCTATATATGCTAAGCTTACACTCTGTCATTGAGCTACATACGGGGACCAAGCCTTCACCTCTCCAACATTAAGAGTATTTTTCTTAAAATATGAAATTATTTCAAGCCTTCTAATTCACTTCTATATACTAGTTATTACAATAATTATGAATGTGAAATGACAAAATGGCCAAGTGACAAAACTACTCTTAAAATTCTAAAGAAGACAGAGTAGTGATATTAATGAAAAAAATTAAAATAATACAACGTGATTAATCTGCAGACCATTGAATGAAATGATTTAAACATTTCAACGACCATCACTATATTACAACTGTCCCTTTAGTATAGAGCTAATCATCCTCGTCTGACATTTGTGCTACCAGACTATAACACTTTTAAAAAGCATTACACAAATGATTTCCTTTCCAAAAATGAAAAGATGTGTACAAGTCATATGCTGTTGGCTCTCAAGCAGAGTTAAAATGTTACTTTCCCATGCCTATACATCTTCAGTATTGTTTGCCATTGCTTACACCAAGTAATAACTAAAATTACTTTTTATTTTCTCTCTGTCAAGTAAAAAATGAGGTTTCTAAATGATAAACAAATTCTGTACCTTTAACTCTTGGTTCTGAAGAATGCATCTTTATTAGTCTTACAAATTTCTGAGACTCACAAGGTGATAGTAACTGGCTACTCTGAGACGATCTGTTCAATATGTGCTCATCTTTTTCAAAAATTCTGAAGAGAAAAGTTTACATTCACTATTAGCTAAGTAAATATTAAATTTAAGTATCCAAAAGGGATACTTCAATATTCTACAGTTAAAACTCTTCATTTTTTCAAATCATGATACTGGTTTTGCAGAGCACTTAACAGATTTTATCACAGGATTAAATTACTTGTTAATCGTATAATTAATAATAATAATAGTATAATTAATAATAATAATGCCAGAACTGTCCTGATTAAATACAATGCTCTTCTCAGTGTACTACATTCTTCCTCTTAAACACAAACATTTTTTAAAAGACCAAAACCATTTTATACATTTTCACTATAAATTACATAGATTTCAGAGTACTTCAAATTTTAAAAAGGTTTATTTAGAAACAAATCAACTATCATGAATAAAGAAATTAGTAAAGCAATACAATATTATAGCCATAAATGTGTCTTTTAACCTTTTTTCTGTAAGAATAACTTTACTTAATTTTTCTAAATCAAGTAAGTATAAACACTATCAAAAATATATCATTCTCCTTTTGTGAACAGAAGATATATTCTATGGCCCCTCAACCCTCAACGACTGCTTAAACAACAACTAGTACCAAAGCTTACATATTTTCTTATACATAGTAGCATACACATTCTTAATGTCTTTTCCATCTTAACTAAGAAATTATTGTACTCTGTAGGTATAACTTCTGCATTAAAGTATAAGAATAAAAGTGGTATTTATTTCTTCCTTCTTCAGAGTTTCAGAAATAAATTTGATATCACAAATCTTAACAACCAAAGTATATTGTTGTTTTCATCCCTTAAGTTGAAACTATCACTTGAAGAAAACACTTAATAGTCTCTCTCTGACATACCACAATTGCCAGCATTGCTATTCTTCTATGTAGGAGCCAATTTAAATATAAAGGTTATCCTTGGCATAAACACAGGATACCACCACAGTTGATTTGATAACTGAGATGGATACTAAACAATCAACAGGCAGGTAGTGCATCTAACACTGCAGTGGACAAAGGAATGATTCACAATTTAGGTGGAAAGGAGCAGCATGAGACTTCATCACTCTATTCAGAATGGTGTTCAATTTGTTTATTCCTGGAATGTCCCATTTAATATTTTTAAATCACGATTGGGCATGGGTAACAAACTATAGAAAGCAAAAACATGAGTAGTAAAGTAGTATATAGTGAATAAAAACCACTAATTAATTATATAAGTTCCTCTTAATATAAAACATTTTTATAATATTATATTGAAGTATACACAAAATAAAATTCTATATATTTTCAAATACATAGAATATATAAATTAATATATAAATATATAAAATTAATGACAAACTGAAAGAGGTAATAAGTAATATGTAGGAATGGCGGCATCAATATAACAGTGCCAAAGAAGTAGGATCATGGAAATTAACTCAGGAGGAGAGTATGCTGGAAATATATTATGATAAATGTAATAGAGTCCAAGGAGTGAAATTTAAGAACTAAAATAGGCTATGTGCCTTTTTCTTCAAAAAGAAGAAAGTTGATTAGAAACAGCATCAAGTAATACAAGTATTTTCCTCTCTTATAAGTAACAGGTAAAATCATTGTGTTTTTTATGCCTCATTGATCCTTGTATTATCTCCACAAGTATCAATAAAATACACAATGATGCAGATTCAGAAGAATTTGGAGTCTCGTCTTCACTCTTTAAGGTAAGGAAGAACTAGTAAAGCTGGTAACAAGTCAAGTTTTAAAAAAGGGTAAAAACACTGCTTCTCTATTGTGTAACTGTTGCAGTCCTACCAAAGAAACTGGATAAATTTTTTGTATACTGACAGGCTATAGAACAGATGAACCTGAGAGGCAGAGGCAGGCAGATCTTTGTGTGTTTGAGGCCAGACTAATCCACAAAGCAAGTTCCAGGACAGTCTGGGCTGTTATAGAGAAACCTTGTCTCAAACAACAACAACAACAACAACAAAAAGAACAGATGAGGTGCTCTTACCCTATTTCTTGTTGTATGCTATGTTTGGTCTTCCTAAACAACAAGCAGTTTTGGATATTAGTTCATAATAGTTACAGAAATAATAATTTCATAAAATTAATAGAAAAATTGCTTGCATAAAATATCAGATACAGACTCAAAATTTTAGCTGTAGAATTCATATTAAATTCAGTTTTAAAGTTTACCTATACATTTCTTTAATTTCTTTTCTCTTTTCTGTATTTTTATTCTTTTCTTCTAGTGCTTCTGAAAAATTCTTACTTTCAAAAAGTCTTGCAATCTGCTAAAAACAAAAATGAGAAAAACAAAATAATTAGCTTCATGACGGTTCATACTTGCAATTCTTAGAACTTGGAAGACTATGGTAGAAGCACTGCCTGGAATTTAAAAAGAGAAAATTTAGTGGGCAAGGAGTTTGTCCTGAAAGCATACGGATCTCAGTTCAGATCCCCAGTGCCCACATACAAGCTAGGTACAAGGGGATGAGCCTGTAATCCAGTACTGGGGAGGTGGAGACAAACAGATCTCTCAAGCGCACTAGCCAGTCAGTCAAGCCAAATGGATAAGTTTCATTTTCAGGTGGAGAAGATTAGAGGAAGATACCCAATGTTGATCTCTGGCCTTTATGCACACGTACACACACACACACACACACATAGAGACAGAGACAGAGGCAGAGACAGACAGAGAGAGACAGAGAGAAAGAGAGACACAGAGAGAGAGACACAGAAAGAGAGAACCTTCAGTGCAGTCAGACATATATACTTTTCTTAACTAATAAATATACTTTGGGTTTTTTGTTTGTTTGTTTGTTCGTTTTTCCCCTAGAAACTCAGATTTGTACTTTTGGTAGTATTTAGTGAAAACTGCTGTGTCATGGATGGAGAAATGGCTAATGATTAAGCACACTAACTGCTCTTACAAGGGACCTAGGTTCAGTTTCCAGCATTTATATGATGGCTCACAACTACCCAAACTCCAGTTCTAGGGAATTTGATGCCTTTTTTCACCTCCACAGGCACCAGGCCTGCATGTAGTGCACATATATGTAGAAAAAAATATTCATATAAATAAAATAAATAAATCTAAATTAATTAAGAAAATCAACAACTCAAGGGATAATACAGAAATGTATTACAGAAAAATTCTAAAACTATTTTTATCCTAGATTTTTAAATGTTATAAACTATAATTGTAAGTTTTTCCAAATCGTTCAACTATTTACTATTTTGTTTTCTCTTTCAAAGACACTGTTGTTCTTTAAATTCTGGCTGAGGGTGCACACAGTAATGCAATTGTCTAACAAGCACTGGTGCCTAGGTTTGACCCTTCACCAAAAAAAAGACATCGATTCTTATAACTAAGTTACATCCTGTTCTCTCTTCATCTTCTTTCCTCATACCTCAAAGAAATCCAAACTATTCCCCCAAACTAAGAGTTACATAAGTTCAGAACCTGAAATATATTTTGGCTTCACTAAGACAAATAAATTGGCCTCTCTCTATACTTAAACTGTCTTTTAAAAACTGCTCTTCTAAAACTGTAGACTAATATTATCATCATATTTATACATTAACAATATATTAAAATATGATACATACCTTATTTAAAGAATTAATTTCTATTTCCATATCATTTGCTTCTTTCTCCAATTCAAGTGATCTCTTGGTAAAATTGTTGGCACATTTAAGAATGTCTTGTGTTTTATATCTCAAATTAACTCTTTTTATGTTAAGGAACAGGCACAAAATAAATTTTACATTTATTATATAATTAATATATACTATTTATATGTATTTTCCACAAAATTGATAATTAGTATCTGAAAAGACAGGTAATGCTAATACAAATAGTTTACCTATAGTATATTAATGAACTTAAAATTTACATTCTATCAAGAAAACTTGTTGGGTTTTTTTTCTTTCAATGAAATATTTTTACAAGGTACAATTCTTTTTCTATGCAAGTTCATTATGTCACTTGGCATAACTAATAAACTATAATCAATTCAAATTTAATTTAACATAAGTTTCCATCATTTATTTATTCCAAAGCCAACATTAAAAACCCACTCAAATTTCCCTTTTCTTTATCCATAATGTTCATCAGTGTATCCTGTATAACTGAAAAGAACTCCCCATCTGGTCTTCCTGCTTGAAATAGTTTATACCTATAGAGTATTTCCCAGCTATTAACATAGTTTATTAAGTTACTGTATAATCCACTTAGGAAAACTAGAACTGATTATAATAATAAATCATGAATAAAACTCTTAGGAAACTTTTTAAATCCTTTCCTATCTTGCCTTATAATATGATTTGTATGCTACAACCAAAACTTCAAGTGAATAGTCTATCAAGTGTTATTACCAAAAGTGTCTATTTAAAAATTTACATATAAAAACTTAAATCCTAATTCTTCAATTCTTCCTACCTCCATCTACCTCTTTGTCATTCAAACTTTGTATGTCCTCCCAAATCATACTCAACCCCTTAAACTCAGCTGCATCTTAAATCACCAAGTTCTGATCCTTCCCACTGAGAATTTAATGCACAGCAATAAAAAACTAAAACAGTCTAAAACCAAAACATGGAGAAAGCAAGTAGTAGAGGCATTAAAACAATGGCTTTGAAATGGGAATGGGAACAAAACAGAATGCATGGATAAAAAAAGACAGTCCAGTAGAATTATAATCCGATAAAACAGCATATAAAGGATTCTAAGGGTTTAGAGAAGATTAAAGTTTTAAGCTCACCATCACAGATCTGTTTGACAAACAGGTGAGACTTATACTATTTAAGAATTATTTAACTATCTATTATAGTGGTATTTATCAGATTTATTTATGTGTCTATTTCCCATGCTAAATTCAAGTTCTTTTCAAGGGAGTTCTTTAATTGCAGCATTTCCCAGCACAAGACAGCTACCCAACACATTTCAAAATGAATAATTATGACTCACTTTCTTATTACCTTCTGTCCTAAAGCGAAATTAAAAATCAATTAATCTGCAACTTTTTAAAAGACAGAGAAAGATAACATTCTTCATTTGGTTGCTATTTTAAAGCCAAATGCACATACTATTTTATTTTCTCTTAAGTTATTTGCTTTTGATCACATGGGTATATAAGGAAACTAACCCCAGAAGACTTTTAAAGTGATTTTTAAAATTTGACTTAAACTGTAAAAACAAACCAACAATTAATAACAGAAATTATACTTATCTAACAAAATTATAAGTGAAATATGCTTTGGATACATGTGTAATGTCCATTTTGTAAGTGATGAGAACGGAGCAGGAACTGCAAAACAAATTTGTAGTTGAGAATTATATTCTTTTCAATGTAAAAATGCAGTAACTAGAGCAATATATAATAAAAATGTTAATACCTAGAAGTTCCATAAGAATAGTTTCATAATGTTTTAGTTGTTCAGTACATGCCAACACTCTGTTTTGAAGTTCTTCGTGTTCTTTTTTCTTCTCATAATATTTACATGAAAAACGTGTTTCTGAGTATTTTAGTTGGTATTGTTTCAAAACATCTTCATACTGACATATATAACCGTGATACATTTTTCTGTTAAAATTAAAAGAAATTATACGGAAATCTAAAAACTTATCAAATATCATTTATTAAAGTCTATTCCATTAAGCATAAATGGAAATCATTTACTTATCTTTCTTTCCCTGGATATTCTGTCTTTCAAGCTCTCTTTAACTCCTCCACCATACTTCTGTTTTATTACCTGAGTTATTCATGCACTCCTTAATCCTCTTCAATTACCATCCATCCTCATCATTTTAATAACATTATTTGACAATTTTATGCAATGCATAAATCATATTCACGCTGAATTCCTCACAGATCCATTTCCACCGTCCCACCAACCCCAATGTTGTGTCTTCTTTTTGTTAATTACTGATCCAATTGGTACTGTCCATAGATTTCTGGCTGTGCAGCCATCCACTGGAGCATGGTCAACCTACCAGAAGCTACATGCTTAAAGAGAACTGACTCTCTATGCCCAGAGAAGCCATCAACTATCCATAATTCCTCAGCAGTGGATGGGGCTCATGAACCTCCTTCTGACTCCATGCTAGAAAGCTGTCTTGATAGTGTGCAGACAACCAGAGCTATTATTAATAACGGTGGCAATCCGGTCTTGTCCAGAAGACACTATTACTATACTCTGTCCTCTTTGACAAGATATGAAAGTTGAGCCTCTCAATAAGCTTTTCCCAAATTGTGTATTTGCTAATTAATCACTTATCACTTGGAGTAACTTGGGAAAACAGTAAAAGGGAAGAGAGAAATACCTTTAAGAAAGCTAACATACCATATGAAATTAGCATCCATCCATCTTGTTCACAACACATATTTATTACCAAACATACTCCATATAGTAATCCCAGAAGACCACATAACTTCCTAAGTGATGATTCAAGAAAAGTCATCATTATCTATCAAGTAGTAGCAATATTAGTTTTCATGAATGCCTTAGGCAGGAATAAGAGATTAGAAGCAAGCAACAGGTAGAATGAGACTAGAGAATTTAAAGTATGAAGCAAGGGAGGGCTATATACCAAGTTGAAAGCTAGTTGAGAATACATAGTGAAACAGTGAAAAGTGAGGTAGAAAAGAAAGATAGAATGGCTGGTGCATTATTTCATTTCCTTTTTTTAAATGTCTGATACTAAGTCATCAATTCAAATTATCTATATGACTGGTTTAGAAAACAACTGCTTCCACTTAAATACCTCTGTTTAGCTTGAAAGGTTATCTAGAATAAACGCTATTTTTAAAAGACACATATTTGGATTGATTTGCTTTAGCTTCTCTTTGTAACATTTTTTCTTTAAAAATTATATATTTGTGTGTGTGAATGTATACATACACACACACACACACACACATAGAGAGAGGGGGTGCTAGAGAGATGGCTCAGCAGTTAGGAGCACTTAACAACTCTATAATTGCAACTTCAAGGGAGCTGATATCTTCTTCTGACCTCCAGAGACACTGGGTACACTTACAGTACACAGACATACATGCAGGGAAAAAAAAAGCACATTAAATAAATTAAACATTTTTTAAAATCTTAAATGACCATGAATTACATTTAAATGATATAAGCACACATGCATGTGCATGCACACATACAAAATTTTAATTACTCCATTCTCCATTTCCTCTTTTTGAAGACCCAGAAAAGAAATTTGTTTGAAGCTTCAGGAAACGTTACTCATCTTAGGCAACTGAACTGTTTTTTACAGGAACAGTTTGAGTCCCAACCTGATGATATTTCTACATTGCCTTGACCATTAGGAATTTCAAAGTCTAATCTGCACCTATACCAAATAAAATATGTAGGGCCACCTGTGTAAATTTCTAACTCAGTTAAATGTTTCCTACATTATTGTTTTGGAATATTATTTAAAGGTATGTTATATTTGCTTATGCTGTGGAACATTTGTTTAATGATGCAAAGATGTACTGCATTCTTTTATGGTGCATTTGTTTAACTCTATGAAGCTGTGTAACTTTGCCTGCCTAAAACATCTGACTGGTCTAATAAGGAGCTGAATGGCCAGTAGCTAGGTAAGCAAAAGAAGGATAGGTGGACTGGCAGACAGAGAGAATAAATTGAAGGAGAAAAAGAGGTACTGGGAAGCAAGAGAGGATTGAGGAGCAAGAAAAGGAGGAGGACATCAGGGGCCAGCCACCCAGCAAGCCATGTAGTAAAAAGTAAAGAAGGTATACAGAAATAGAGAAAGATAAAAAGCCTAGAGGCAAAAGGTAGATAGGATAATATAGATGGTATACTCCAGCTTCCTCCTTGTCTTAGTTACTTTTCTATTGCTATGAAGAGATAACATAACCAAGGCAACTTATAGAAGAGTTTATAGGGGGATGACAGTTCCAGAAGGTTAAAGTCCATGACGACAGAGACGAAGAAGACTAAGACGAAGAATAAGAAGAGGGGGGAGGGGAGTGAGAACAAGAGCTGACTGGGAATGGCTTAGGCTTTTGAAAATTCAAAGCCCACCCCTAGTGACATACCTCCTTCAATAAGGTCACAGTTCTCCATCCTTTCCAAACAGTCCACCAAGTATTCAAACATATGAGCCCGTGGTGCCATTCTCAAACTATCATGCTCCTGGTTTTGCTCCATACATTTCCTTAAGACATCTTACACATTTTCAGGATTTCTAATTACAGAAACTCCAAATATATAACTTTCATCCCTACTTCTTTTAGGGTTCATCTTTGAAAATAAAGTATTACAGGTTTTTTATATGTAGAACCTAGATTTAATCTGTATGTGTATTTTTATATAAAGGTGTGTGTGTGGCTAACAAAACTAGAAAGGGGGGGAAGAAGTGAAAGAAAAGGAAGAGATGTTAAGAGAGGTGGGAAATAGCAATGACTTTACAAAGTAGGAGGGGGGCTAACTAGTGAAGGGGGGAGGGAGCACAGGGTAGATTAATGAGGAAAGGAAGCAAATGAGAGCAAGGAATGACGCATATGTGTAAACATGCCATGACAGATACCGTTATTTTGTATGCTAACCTAAATTTTTTTTCAAAATTCTTGCATGTGTATTTTAAAATTAAAGTATTTAAATACATTTAAAAGTATTGCTTCCACCCAATTACATTACTGTAATTTCCAAAAAAGTCAATATCCCCAAATTTTCATGAGCTAGCTCTACATGTATTTCTTTACATGGTTTCCTATAAGAATCACTGAATAATTCTGCTACAATAGTTGCTTCTGATAAATAGTTTATATCTGAGACAGTAGCTTAACACACACAAAATAGAGATTTACAATAAATAAAGACCTACAATGGAACACAGCATTTGTTTACTTAAAACCCTCAGAATACAAACTTGCTCCATTTTTCAATTACCATTCTTACAAATACTAATTATTAGTAATTATATAATTAATAATTAATTAATAAATATAATCCCTGACAATACTAATTTATGGAACTGATATATTTAATATATTACATATAAATGTATATACTGTACTTGTCTTTTTCATTGGTTTCTTGATAAACAGTAAGTTGATCTTGTATATAATCTTCATGTTTATGAAAAACATCACATGTTGGCTTCCAGCTATGAAAAAAATTATAGTTGTGATTACCATTTCAATGTGATTACCATCTCAAAGTGATAAATGAATATTAGGAACAAAAAAGAATGTAATCATTTAAAGAACAATGAATCTCCAAAAACAAAAAAACAAAGGCCAGGTGATAGTGGCACACGCCTTTAATCCCAGCACACAGGAGGCAGAGGCAGGCAGATCTTTGTGAGTTCGAGGCCAGTCTGGTCGACAAGAGCTAGTTTCAGGACATGCTCCAAAGCCACAGAGAAACCCTATCTTGAAAAACCAAAAACCAAAACCAAAAAACAAAGGAAAAAAATCTAAAATTACTGAATACCATGGTACCTCTGTTCTAAGTAGTACGTGAAATTTTCTGTTTTCTTATATTTTTTTTAACTTCAAACTTAAGCATGTTCATTCTGTAAGTACAGAAAAGTTATATAAAAAAATAACTATCTACATTCTCCCCCCTCCCTTTTTTTTTTTTTTTTTTCTGAGACAGGGTTTCTCTGTATAACAGCCCTGACTGTCCTGGAATTTGCTCTGTAGACTGGCCTTAACTGAGAGATCTACATGCCTCTGCCTCCCGAGTGCTGGGATTAAAGGTCTGCAGCACCAGTATCTGCATTCTTAATATTAAGTAACTAGTATTACTACTTTAATAAGTTATCTCCAGATTTTACTACCATTTTAACAATACTGAGGTCATAATCACACATAACTTATCCTCTTTTATCATTTGCTGAGCAGAACTTATACTTAAACATTTATTTGTCCATATTTCTGATCAATTCTTAGAAAATTTTCTCCAGAATAGAATTAGAGGTTCAAAGATTACATATACATATATTCTGTGCATTTAAAAATGCTCACACTAATCACTAAGGAAATATTCACTATAAACATTTTGATATACAACCTTTGGATCTTCTTAATTTTGGAAATACAGATATATAATTATTAGTTGGGTTCATACTATGAAGGATGCTTTGTTATTGCTTTGTTCTACTTCTAATGTACTTCTAACTTCTTTCCATATCAAACATGCATGTCATAATTCTATTGACTGTTGAGTAATAGGTATATACCTAAGTTAATGAAACCACCTAATGTTGGATATTGGCAGTTATATATAGTGTTTTCCTACAGCTAAGCCTTAAATAAGAAATGCAACTTAATTGCAACCAAGTAAGATATGAGTGAATTAATCCAAAGACATATTTCTTAAAAGAAGTTTTTATCTTGAAAATTTTTAGATTGATTTTTTTTAATGTATGGGTGTTTTGCCTTCATGTTGGTTTATGTACCAAAAGCATTCAGTGCCCATGGAGGCCAGAGAAGGTATTGGAACCCCTGGGACTGGAGTTACAGCCTGTTGTGAGCCACTATATGAGGGCTGGAAATCACCCCTGGGCCTCTGCAAGAGCAGTGAGTGCTCTTAACTCTGAGCCATCTCTTCAGTCCCTAGCTTAAATTTTTACAGAAATCTAAGACTTTGAAAAGTCAAAGATCAATAGCAATTTTACATACCAAGCTTACACCCAAAATCATTTATTTGTTTATTTGTAGGCAGAATCTTGTATCTCAACTTGGCCTGGGAATCTATGTAACTAAGGACAAACTTGAATTTCTGATTCTTGTGCCTCTATCTCTCAAGTGCTTGTATATAAGCGTGTGCCAACACTCTCAATTTACAAAATTCTGTTTAGACTGAGTATTAGTGAGATTATAATAACTCTTATTTCTGGTTTTCTGTGGAATCTTCTGTAAGTCCTTCTGTAGTTGCATATAACTAGACAATTTAATTATTTTGCTAATATGGATACTAACTTGGGAGTCTGGGTTTAGTTCAGTGTGAGGGAAGAATATGCAGGCCTTGGGTTCAATTCCCAGTGGGAAAAAGGGAGGGAAAAGAGAACGAAGAAGGAAGACAAGGGAAGGAAGGGAGAAAGGGGGACAGAGAAAACACTGTTACTTTAAAATAGGATTTTTGTCCGTGGTTGTCAAAAAAGGTCCTTGCACATGTTAGGCAAGTGCCCTACCATTGAGCTATACTCCCAACTCAACATTTCTGTAATAAATGGAAGTTCATTTCTGTCAAATACTTACTTACTATAGCAGTCTTTCATTTCTTTACTATGTTTACAGTAATAAGCAATTTCCTCATCTGTTTTGTTTATGGCTTCACATATATTAGAAACATTTGCTTTGTTTTCTTTAATACTTTCAAGGCATGCTGAAAAAGAATATGTTTTATTTACCTAGAAATCATAAATTCAAAATAAACAAACATACCAGAAAAACAAAAGTATATGGAAACTTACCTAAAAGAAGGAAAATCAGAAAATGAAAAGGAAGCAAGACTTGAGAGAAACAGGCATCTATACTAAAAATCAAGAGAACCAAAGCCAGGTCTAGTCCTAGAACCAGAAGCTAAGAAGGACATAAGATTGAAGAAAAACAAATGGCCCTGCCCCCGAGTTTTACAATGAAGGGCTAGATTAGATGGCATTTAAAGCTATAAATGCTTTAAATGAAACATATAAACATTTATTCATTAATGATACTATCAAAGGATTTCATTTTTGATAAATGTTAAATTTCATCCATTGCACATCAATTGTTAAATGCATCAACACGCTTATTACTCGTGATTAAATAAATGATAAAAAGATACAATTTTAATTGGGATAATTTTTTAAAATTTATGTGTATGAGTATTTTGCCTGACTGTATACACGTGGCTATGTGCATGCCTAATGACCACTGAAGACTGGGAGAGGTCGAGACTCCCTGAAACTAAAGTTACAAGAAGCTGTGAATCAGTGTGGGTTCTGGGAACGGACCCCGAGCCTTTCACAAAAGCAACAAGTGCTTTTAACTACTGAACCATCTCTCCAGTCCTGAAATAATCAATATTCCATTTCTTATTGCAGAAAAGATAATAAAATTCTTTTTAAATACTAAGAAATTAACAGTTATGTTTTCAAAACTAAATAGAACTATTTTAAAAATTAAAAGCATTGCATTTATTTACTTAATTCTGATATTTTACTTATTATTTTTTCAAAATCACTTTCTGAAAGTGTGCCATTTATCAACCTATGGTTTTCTGTTATTTCAAGAGAAAAAAATTCAAATATTTGAAATTACCTTGTTATTTGAAGGGGGAAAATGCTGTATATAAGGGATTATTTCTGAGAAATTCTTAACAAAATGTTGAGTACAAACATTTATCATTGCCAATACTTGTCACAACTATTACCCCTAAGATAAACAGCTCATTGCTACTCAAAAGAAAGATCTCTCTCACACACAAACAACTATAGGCTGCTCTAAGCAGTGTAACTATAAAATAAAAATAAAAAATGAAAATATGTCATACAAAACTACTTACTATTAATTCTTTGAATCATAGCTTCTTTAGTACTTTTGTCTTGTTCATACTGGAAAACTAAAATAAACACTTCTTTTGTAATTTGACTTCATGGTTAAATGTCAAATTTTAATACAAAAGGCTTTATTTTCATTTTATACCTACCAAATTCTAACAAAAGCCTGTCCAAACTGACAAACAGGCTGTCCGTCATCTTGGATCCTGGGCAAAATAAATAACAAAACTTTCAGAAACCATACATTAACTATCATATATAAAGTAACCTTTCAAATATAGCAGTCTGTAAACCAGGCTGGCCTTGAACTCACAGAGACTCTGCTGCCTCTGCCTCCCGCGGGCTGGGATTAAAGGTGTGCGCCACCACTGCCTGGCAAACACAGCATTCTTACAAGAAAAATACAGGTGGATTAAAACATGGGGAGGAGAGAGCCTCTTCCAGTCGAGGGCTGAATTCGTAGCCAGAGCTTCCAGAGTCCTAATGATCAAATGGATGGGACTTTGACAGGCGACGCAAGATGGAAAGTTCAGGAAATTGTCCTTGTGGTAGTCTGTGCTGGGTATGGCGGGAAGTCTTTGAATACTAGAACGCACAGACCTCCAGGCATCTTGACCTAGACTTTAAAACATCTGTAACAACTGTAAGGGGCGGGGGCCGGTGTGGATTCTTAAATCCTTCACAGGACTGGACCTTAGAGAGACTGGGCGATTTGCCGCATCTGAATTCGCTACCACGGCTCTTTCTTTTCCTTAAGGTTTTCCACAGTCCTAGACCCGCCCCAGGCCGGCTTCGCATCCCCGGCTCCCGCATTTATGGCGGGAACTCGTTCACGGATGACGGCAGCCCCCATAGTCGCTCTCCTCAGCCCAGGCCGCGGTCCCTCAGCAGCAGGCCCGAGCGCGTCCCTTCCCGGGTGGGGCGTGCAGTCTGTGGGCCCCGCGCCACGCCCTCCCCGGCCCGCATCCGCCCCGGCCCGCACCTTCCACCTAACGGGCCCCTACCTACGGGACCCCCGAATATCGCTCTTCGCGGGGTCCCCAACTCACGGTCCGGTCGACGACCTAACCTTCGGAGTCTAAGGCCTCGGGCGCCGGGCTTGGGAGACCCACACACGCAAGGGTCACGTGGTCAGCCGCAAATCTCGCGAGATCACGTTGGAGCGGAAGCCTTCTGGAGGTGGAGGCGTCAAAAGTCCCAGGATGGGTGCTGGGGTCAGAAAGCAGCGCCAAAAAGAGTCCATGGCTTTCTGGGGACTAGCAGGGTTCTTTAAACGCCACCCAGTCCTTTAGTGCGAAAACGTCTTGGAAATCACCAGGAAAATGAACGTTAACACAGGGAGAAATTTGAATTCAAATATCCAGCTTGAATTCGGAACTTCTCAAAACTTCCTGGAAAGCAAATTTTAAGAGTTTTTCATTTGATTTAAAAAAAAAAAAACTTTTTTTTTAAACTACTGTCCCTAGATGTAGGAAATCACCCAGACCCTGATATGACCCCAAGCCTCAACCAAACTAGGGCCAAGAAACAGAACCCACTAATCCCTGTGCTTCTCTCAAGATAAAGTCACAAAAAATTCTCACCAATCCCAGAAACCCTGCCTTCTGCACAGCTCCCTCTTGTGTGAGGTTTGTTGTGTGGAGTGATTTTTTTCTTTCTTTTTCTTTTTTTTTTTGGGGGGGAGGTGGTGGTTGTTTCGAGACAGGGTTTCTCTGTAGCTTTTGGTTCCTGTCCTGGAACTAGCTCTTGTAGACCAGGCTGGTCTCGAACTCACAGAGATCTGCCTGCCTCTGCCTCCCGAGTGCTGGGGTTAAAGGCATGCGCCACCACCGCCCGGCCTATATTTTAATTTTTTTTTTTTTTGGTTTTTTCGAGACAGGGTTTCTCTGTGGCTTTGGAGCCTGTCCTGGAACTAGCTCTTGTAGACCAGGCTGGTCTCGAACTCACAGAGATCTGCCTGCCTCTGCCTCCCGAGTGCTGGGGTTAAAGGCGTGTGCCACCACCGCCCGGCCTATATTTTAATTTTTTGAGACAGGGTTTCTCTATGTAACATCCCTGGGTGTTCTGGAAACTCACTCTGTAGACCAGGCTGGCCTTGAACTCACAGAGATCCGCCTGCCCCCTCAAGTGCTGTGATGAAAGGTGTGTGCTACCACTGGGTCTATTTTTTATTTTTTTAATTTCTTAATGATGAGGACTGAACCCAGGGACTCATGTTTGTTAACTGTGCCTTCTACCGCTGAGCTATGCCTCTTCTCAATTTTATATTTCTAATACTTTTATTACCATCCTAAATTATCTCAACGATTGATGTTTTCATAAATTATTTAAATGAAAAAAACAAACTTCCAGCATTTTTCTTTTTTCCCTTTTTTTTTTCTTTTTTATTTATTTATTTATTAAATATTTCTGTCTCTTCCCCACCTCCGCCTCCCCTTTCCCTCCCCCTCCCCCAGTCAATTCCCCCTCCCTCGTCAGCCCAAAGAGCAATCAGGGCTCTCTGTCCCGTGGGAAGTCCAAGGAAAACCCTCCTCCGTCCAGGTCTCGTAAGGTGAGCATCCAAACAGCCTAGGCTCCCACCAAGAAACCAATACATACAATAGGACCAAAAACCCATTGCCATTGTTCTTGAGTTCTCAGTAGTCCTCATTGTCCGCTATGTTCAGTGAGACCTGTTTTAACCCAGGCTTTTTCAGACCCAGGTCAGCTGGCCTTGGTGAGTTCCCAATAGAGCATCTCCATTGTCTCAGTGTGTGGGTGTTTTGGCTCAGATTTCCTGAGGCCCAAGGCTGAAGGGCCACATCTCCTGGTGGTCCTCTTGGCAATAATGCCCCCAAAGCAGTGCAAGGCAACACACCACAAGATGTCAGTCAACAATGCATATCAGTCAACCGTGTCTCTTCTGGTCCCCCACCTTTTTTTTTTATATATCTATCAGAATTCAATTATGAAGGTTTTATTCCAGTAACTATAGCTAATCCTAATTTGATTCCCAAATCCCCACTTCTAAACGAATCTACCACCTTAATATCTCAAAATGGGGATTAGATTTCAACACATGAAGCCTTGAGGGAAACACACTCAGTCTGTAGACAAGCCATAGCAATTATGAAATGACTATGAAATGAAATCAAATTAATTTATGTAGCATATCCACCACCTCCGTGCAATTGTTATTTGTGTGGATGGTAAAGCTGTTTAATTTCTACTCTTATCATATATTAAGTACAAAACGCAGTATGATCATCTCTAGTCACCAGGATGTACACTAGTTTTCCAGAATGTACTCATCCTGCCTAGCTGAAATCATGTGCCCTTTGATTTGAAATCTCCTGCTTCTAGGTCCCATCTCTCCTAGTCAACTCTCAGCAATCTCTAAACTGTCCTCTGCTTCTACGAGTGCAAATTTTTGAAACATTTTCTGAGATTATGATTACATTTTTCCCTTTCCTTTCCTCCCTCCAAACCCTCCCATATACCCCTCCTTGCTGTCTTTCAAACCCATGCCCCCATTTTTTGTTATTGCACGCATATGTGTCTATGCATGTAAAGTCACTTGTATGTGTGACATTTCAGAGCTGACCGTTTGATATTAGATAATGAAGTGTTGTGCTCTTCCCTGGGAAGACTCTCTCTCACTCCCAGAATTCCTTACATAGTGCCACCAACACCAACACTGCAGGTTTACTTTGGCATGTTTCTTGCTACCATCTTTGTTCAGCTCATGTTTGGGCAGTCATTACTGAAGAGACGAAGTCTCTCAGCAAACTCCCTGATCCTCTGACTCATACAACCTTTCCTCCCCATCTTCCACGATGTCCCCTGAACCTTGGGTGTGGGAGTGTTTTGTAGATGTATCTCTTGGGACTAAGAATTTGATTGATTGGGATTTTCTATAGCTGTCTCTATCGGTTGCAAAAAGAAGTTTGCTTGATAAAGAGTATGGCTGTACTTATCTGTGGGCACAAGGACAAACGTCTAGATTGTTGTTAGGGATTCTGTTGGTTTAGTAAAGTAGTGATTGTAGATTCCCCTCCTGTATTAATGACTTCACTGTCACGGGGCAGTTAGCTAGGTTTCCAGTATCAGTTGTTTCGTTTTTTTTTTTTTTACATTATGTATGTGTGTATGTATGTATGTGTTTTATATATGTGAGTGCTCTATCTACATATACAACTGCATGCCAGAGAGAGCACTGGATCCAATTATAGATGGCTATGAGCCACCACATGGTTGCTGAGAATTGAATTCAGGGCCTCTGGAAGAACAGCCAGTGATCTTAGCGGCTGAGTGATATCTCCAAGTGTGAAATGGGTCCTTAGTCCAGTTAGAGAGCTGCTGGTTACTGCCAAGGTTTGCATGCCTGTACTACACCTTTAGAGTTCGTGCCATGCTGTTCATTGCTATGGCTCATAGGTGTCATGGCTGGGTAGGACTGTTGGTTGCCTCCCTCTTTGGAAGCTCTCATGGAACCTTCTGGAACCATAAAAGCTAGTCCTCAGGGAGGAGTCATTCAGGTTACTTGCAACTCAGGGGTCTCTGGGACTTGTTTCTAAAGTGCATGGCATCTTTAGCAATGGGGACTTCCTTGCCAGCTCTGGCAGGGGGCAAAAAGCAGTGGGAATAGACTGTATGTTTTGGGAATCTCTTGGACAGCTCTGGTGCACAACATAAAAGGGGATTTCTTGTGTCTGGTATCTGGCTGTTTTTTTTTCTTTTAAGGTGGTTTTTGGCTCTTGGAAGGAGCATTGTCAGCCCAGATGAGATAGGTAGAGTCAGGTGGTGGAGGCACATAACTTTAATCCTAGTACTGGTGAGCAGATCCCTGGGTTTGAGACCAGCTTGGTCTTTAGAGAGAGTTCCAGGAATACACACACACACACACACACACACACACACACACACAACTGTAGAATTATGGGTTTTTTGGTGAGTTGTTAACAGTATGATTCCTTATGGCTTTTCCAGACTCCCTTATTATTATTTTACTCCCCTCCCCTCTTGTTCTGTATATATTTCCCTCCCCTCTCCCTAAAGAGCCCCTCATTTTGCATTTCCCCAGTATGATCACAGGACCCTAGTACTCCTTCCCCTATTGCTCCCCAAGCCCCTATTCTGGCAATGTTTCTGTTTTACTTTCCTGATTTCTACAGTTATTTCAAGCTATGTACTTAACAACTGAAGATTTGGAGGTAAGA